TGTTACTATATAGTAATAAATGTATTTTTAATTATACAGGTAATAATGATACAGCACTGGGCACAATAGCGGGAATCCGGAACTGGCACGAGTGGTCTTGGTTTAATAACGAGACCGAAGCAGGATGCATTTATGCAAGACCTTTACCCAGAATTGGTCTATGGAAAGAATTCACACCCACAAATATTCAAAAAATTATAAAAAAACGTGTTATAAAAAAGCCAGAACCTACTATCACTACACACAGTCAACCAAGCAAATCTTGGACTATGCCAGTGCTGGAAATTCAAGGTTGCAAAGATTTATAATCTAGGTGTCACTAGTTGAAATTAAAAAATTCACTATATTGAATCTCTAATTTTAACTAGTGTACCATGGGACATGGTTGTTTTGCACTATTTACATTACCTGGGTTGATTTACATTTGAATGCTGCTAAGGGAAATTCACAGTACAGACTTTCAATTGTATTTTGTACCAGACACAATCTATTCTAATTTATTAGCAATTGTGTCTGGTACAAAATATAATTGAAAGTCCGAACTGTGAATTTCCCTTGGCAGTACTCATTTGTGAAGCAATTTATGAATACTGTAATGTCTAGAATGATATTTGGTGATTGATAATATATAGTTATTGGATGCGAAGCAGCCAATAACTTATAATATCGGGATATTTTGTCAAATACTAATATTTTATATATTTTATCAGTTTCATCGAATGACAGTTTAGAAGACAAGAATGATGATCTCGTGTGTAATTTGCTAATATTCATTAGTATACAATAAACAGATGACTAAAAATAGTTATGTTCATGATCCAGGAAACGGTTAACTTAATCAATACAGCTGAAATAGAAGCTTACACCGAGTCTGAAGGGTTACAGTTTCATTTTTTTATTTTTTATTTTGTGAATTTATCAAGCTTTATCTAATATTCGCTGCTTCAATTTCGTATTTCTATCTTTTTCTATTTTTTGTATTCATTTATGTTTTATGTTTCTTGCATCGTTTCACACTACACATTTTTACTTGGTTCATATATATTTATTTTTTACCCACCTATACTTTCATATTTTTTGCACACATACTTTCATTCAATTCTGACACTTTCATATATTTTTATTTCTTTATAAACTTCAGCTTATTTATTATGGTTTTATTTATATTTCACTTTCATTTACTCTTTACAATTCAATTTAATTTCGTTCACTATTTGTTTTTCTCGATTTTATTTATTTTTATATTTTCGTTTATACCTTACATTTTTTTATTTTTATTTATTTCTATCATTTTCTTTCATATTTATTACCTTCACCCTTTTATTTTCTTGTTCTTTTCTTTCGTTGTTCTCTTTGTTCTTTCCTTTTCGCTTTTTCCTTTTTGCTCACCTCTTCTTTTCTTTCATTCTCCTTTTTATTCTTTTTCTTCGCTTTTCACATTTCCATTACTTTCTCTTACTTTTGTTCTTTTCAACTTCATTATTTCTTTGTTTTTGTTTCCTATTCATTCTTTTGACTCATTTTTCTATTTTTCCTTACCTTTATTTTTCCCTTTACTATTCCTTTTACCATTTCCCTTACCTTTATTCTTTCTCTCTATGATTCTTTCTCTTTGCCATTTTCTTTCAATTCTTTCCTTTACTTTCAACCCTTTTTCTTTCATTCTCATTCCTTTCTCTTCATTTTTTTCTCGCATTTTTCATGCTTTTATTCTTTTTCATTACCTTTGTTCGTTTCAATTTCATTCATCTTTCTTGTTTTTGTTTTTTATTACCTTATTTTCAATTATTCTTTGTCACTTCCTTTTACTTTCAATTCTTATTTGCTTCTGATTCTTTTCTCTAGCTCTATTTTTCATCTTGTTTCTTCTTTTTTATTTCTTTATTCGTTTCTTTTATTTTCGCTTTTGTTCACTTTACTTCTTTTTCTTTGGCGTTCTTTATATTTCTATATACTAGTTACCAGAAGTTTGTTGCTGGCTGGTGTCTCAAGGAGAAGCAAAAGAAAAGCAGAGCACTAGTAAAATAGCTTACGCCTCAGGTAAAAACTTTGTTAGAAACTATGTTTCATACTGGGACGGCAAGCCCAAGAAAAAAATATCAGCAACAGAAATGCACCAAGAATTACTAAATCATTCACGGGAAGGTGAAATCAATGTTGCCGGCGTGCCTGAGGTGTCGACAATTTCAAACTGGATAAGCGGCTTTTCAAGAGCTTGGAAACGAGCAATAGCAGAACGTTCTTTGGAGGAAAATAAAGTTACAAATTCAGAATAAATATACATACCTCTATATATTGGTCTCAATTTTGTTTTTTTTTTTTGGCATGCCATATTCATTTCTATTTTTTTTATTTTCTTGTCAGTTGTTTTTTTTTTTTTGAATATTCGTCATGTTGCAATCAAGCATTTGTCTATTTGTCATGGTTGAAATCTGATGGGAGTCCAAAGTAAAGTTTTTATTCATAAAGTAACCCAGTTTTTTTTTGCTGTAATTCATTTCTGGGGCTCTTCAACTAGTTACTCGCGAAATAAAAACCAGATATCGATGATTTTCTTGCATTTTGCCTTTTTGACGCTTTTGTGTATTCTTTGTTGTATCATATAAAATTAATAAAATCTACCCCAAATTTATATAATAAATTTGTGCCGATCTTATCCGGATCAGCAATTAAAAAATTTCAGCCGATCAGCGTTAACTCTGCATATTTGGTGAATTTTTGAATTGTTAAATCCAGGAATCCTAATTTAGTTACATTTTGCAAATCTGCCAAAAACTGGGCCTTCATTTCATGTTAATCGAATTGAAGAATCATAACATTAAGTATATAAAGTGCTTGGGCAATTATTTTTAGGCCATCAATAAAAATTGCATAACTCTGTGAAAAATAAGGATATTTGGGCCTCCATTTCTTGTTAGCTAAAATGGTAAATGCTCTTGATCAGCTAAATAATTTTTCTATTAATTAAATTTTTTTCTTTCCGATACATTAAGCTTTCCCAACCTTGTGTTAAATATTTTATTCATTGGAATAGTAAACACATTGATTCGTTAAAATTCTATTTCAAACTAATAAAATCAATGCCAATAAAATTATATAATACTAATTATTTTCTAATCAATTCTTTATAAATTTATTAAAATTGTATAAATATATATATATAATTTAACAACCTTTAATACAATCATTGGTCCTTCATAAATCTCTTTACTCTAATTTCCATCTTTGATAACAATAACAAGCTTTGAGATATTCCGATAGCAATGACCCATCTTTGCAGCTTTCATGTGTCTTTCACTATTTTTGACCTGTATTAAAAAATGAAGAAAATGGTAAGTAAGCTTTGATTCAAGTGTTTAATATTAATAAAAAAATACAATAATCCAGTTAAATCTAACAAATTTCTATTCTTTATTAATATTTGTTTTTTGCTAATTAAACCTATATATGTTGTTATACTTTTATAATTTATTGAAAGACAAATTATTTTTGAATAAAATACTAATCAACCAGTGCTTAAATAAAGTGCTAAAACTTGAATCAAAATAACAGAGATTTAGTTATTTAAAAAGTTATAAATTGTAAAAAATCTTCAGACAACTCTCCCTGATGATCACTTGTACCAAATTTTTATACCAAAAAAAGAGCCAAAATTTTGTTGGAGTAGTAGACATAACTATCGGGCAGTTCTTGCAAAGGTTCAACCAGGTTTTTTCTTTCTCCTGAGGACTCCTTTGACATATTCAGCATGCAAACCAGAAGCAATGGAATACAAGATAACTGGCAGATGGTGCCCTTGTATATGAAATTCTGTTGTCGACAGACTTGAAAAATAAGTGGTCTTTGCCGACAAAGCAACCGAGAGGCAATAAAGAAAAGGGGAACAACAAATGAGTTCTTTAACACACTTTTTGAAAATTTGAAGTACCTGACCTCAAAAACCTCTTTCTATATTCCCACCAGGTTTTTTGGTGTTTCTCTCAAATTTTTTTTCAAAAAGTGGGAAATTCGGCATACCTCCAATAAAAGATCAATATTTGTTTACACTACCATATTGGGATGAAGTTTGAAGATCACAGGGCTCCATACCTGGCAACTGACTAAGGATACGTGATGAGGAAAATGTAAACAAAAAAGTCAACAAGATGGTTTGTATCGATGGGTAAATAAGAAAAATTTCATATTCTCTACATAACAAGAACTATTTTAATACTGAAGTAAAGCGAAGGTAGAGATTGTTTTGCAGAGTATTAAATAAATTTTAAATGAAACTGGTATTGCCCCAAGCACTCGGTGTATCTAGTACTTTCATGGTTTTTTGCTTTTTTCTTTTTGCTTTTTTCTTTTTTTTTATCATTTTATATTTCTTTTTTTTGTACTTGGCTTATATGTAGGTTTTGTAGATTTTCTACTTTTTTTTACTATTCCCTTTTTAGTTTAGTTTTTTTTACTATACTTGTTTTTGAGGCAAGGATTATGGAATCCTCTTGCTGGGATATTAAGAAGAGAAGGGTTTTAAGGAAATTAGCAGTCATGACGGGCGGCCGATCCTAGTTGATGATATACTTATCTATTTCGGTTGCAAAAGGGATAGATGCGTAGACGAAATCAGCTATAGCAGGTCGAATATAGATGTCAATTAATAATCGGGTTAGTCAAAACTTGTAAGTTAGACACTAAAGCTAGTGTTTTAGTTTGAGTAATCACATGAGGTGGAGCCGATTGCATTAGGATCTAATAAAGTTTTGGCATAACTGCCGAATTTATAAAAAAAAAAAAAATTGTAAAAAATCTTAAAAATTATTTTTATTTTAACTATATGAAAAACCCCAATTTTAAAAATATATACTTTTATAATCAATGGTAATTATATTAATAAATATAAATAACTAAATTTATTAAACATAAATGGCTATTTTTAAATAATTTGTTTTTTTAGAAAAAAACTAAATTGCCACCTAGTGTTTGAAACACTGGTGTTTGTGTAACATGTAAATTAAATAATTTTTATTATAATAAACAATAAACAAAAATAATTTTACTTAATATTAGAGTTAGTATTAGAGTTTAAAGTGATATAAATTATAGTTTATACCAAAATTTTGCAAAGAATTTTTTTTCTTAGAGCTTGAAAAGTAGTTTTATAAGCAAAATTTTAAGATATTATTTATTTTTAGTTTTTTTCTTTATTTTTGTTGTACAAAAAAATGATTTACATATTGCATTTGATTTGATATTTTGATTGGTTTTTTTAATTGCTATGTGTAATCAAGTGTTAATACACCTAGTGTCTAAATAGAAATTGTCA